TAAGCAAGGGGGGCAAGGATATCACCCTAACGTAGGATGGCAAAAATCTAAATGGCCACTTTTTAGCAGAGTGGGGATACCAGTCCAGATCTGGGAGGCAGCCCTTGGGGAGCCAAGCCCACATCACACACAAAAGTGGGGTTTTGTCACAGTCATCTTCATTGTCATCAGTGGCAAACTGGTTTGTTATTCTCAAATTGCAATTGACTTTCCAGTACTTGGTAGGCAATCAGAGAAGCAAAACTACAATTTTTTAAGGAAAGGGAAAAAATTAAATTAGCTTGCCCAGCTTCTCATCTAAGTTTTGCTGCTAAGCCCAGGAAAACTGGGGACTCAGTTCACTCATTGTGCTAGACCATGGTTTGTTTAACCGTGGTTTACTGAATAATCCCATGTGCTGGGTTCATATGACACACATCCATTAAACATCCCGACAACATGTAAGAGTCACACAACAGCCTAAGCCACGATCCGCAAACCACAATGGCTGGGTTTGCAAACCAGCTTAATCCAAAACTAAATCAGTTTATAACATCATGTGTTTGGTGATTTAGACCTGCATTTATCTGTTGGAAGCAGGTTCTTTGACACAGAGGCAGAATCTTTTTTGGACCCTCACAGGAAAGATTCCCCCATCTTTATGCTAGTGAAGGACCTGCATGAATCCTCAGGCCACCGTAATGTCTGAAAGCCCTGGGTAGTTAAATAGGTTTTGTGAACTCAAAACCCAGAGCATATCCTTCTCTGCCATACTGAGAAAGCACAAGGATTGAAATCACTCAGATGGGAAACTCAGCATTGGCAGTGACCGGAACTGCATGTAATCCCAGTTAAATAAATAAACCCCAGCCCAGAATCTCTGGGGATGACCCTGCCCATGTTTGCATCTTTGCTATTGCAATGTGCACATTTCTTAGGCAAAGCCAAGGAAGAGAGAATGAATACGCCATACTGGGTAACACATTGTGCTCACACACATAGAACCAGGGGTGAAATCCAGCAGGTTCTCACAGGTTCTGGAGAACCGGTAGTGGAAATTTTGAGTAGTTCGGAGAATCAGCAAATGCCACCTCTGGCTGGCCCCAGGAGTGGGGAGGGAATGGGGATTTTGCAGTATCCTTCCCCTGGAGTGGGGTGGGAATGGAGATTTTGCACTATCCTTCCCTTGCTATGCCCACCAAGCCACGCCCACCAAGCCACACCACATCCATTAAGCCACGCCCACAGAACCGGTAGTAAAAAAAAAATTGGATTTCACAACTGCATAGAACATAGAATAACAGAGTTGGAAGGGGCCTTGGAGGTCTTCTAGTCCACCCCCCACCCGGCTCATACAATTTCAGACAAATGGTTGTCCAGCCTCTTTTTGAAAGCCTCCAGTGATGGAGCACCCACAACTTCTGAAGGCGAGCCATTCCATTGGTTTATTGTTCTCACCATTGGGAATTTTCTCCTTATTTCTAGGTTGGGTCTCTCCTTGGTGTAGGGAGCTGGCAGATGCCAACAGAAGTGTCTGAACAAACACTGGATCTCATTAGTGCCCTGTTGTTCACCCCTGCTTCTATAAAGCGTGACGTAAATAAGCATTTCAGTTATAGATTATAGATTACTCTCAATCCTTTTGTGCAAAGGGCTAAACCACACAGAACTTAAGTAAAGCGAACACCTTGTGCAAGTGCAGCCTCTAGAACCTTTACGCACTCTATTTTGTGTGAACGCAGCCATACCTTCCTTGTTTGCGCTGGAGGCTCTGGAATGACGGATTCGTTTTGGAAACTTTAGATTTTTATTAGACTTCTGCATCTATGGACTGGAATCTGCCTTTCGGTGCCCCTGAATAGGTTCTCCAATCTCTTCTCTCTCCTCTGATTGAAGACTGAGATTTTCTCCAAAGGACCATAGAAAGCAGGGTTTTCCAACCTTGGCAACTTTAAGACTTTAACTCCCAGAGTTCCTCAGCCAGTTTTGTTGTGGACTTCAACTCTGGGAGTTGAAGTCCACAAGTCTTAAGGTTGCCAAGGTTGGAGAACCCTGATATAAAGGGTGGATTCTTTGTTTATATAAATAAATAAATAAAAATATTTTGACAAAAGGACGCGGGACCAGAGCTTGACATTATTTCATTGCCCATCCCTCTGTCACCCACAGGGGAAAACGCCACTGCAGTTTCTTCTCCACAAAATGGGGGTGGGAGGGGAGCATCCAAAGCCCTGCGGAGCTGGTGGTTGAAGGATCCACGTCATCAGATGCCAAATGTTTGTTCGCCTCCCACTAAACCCCTCCTCAGGGCCACCGGGGCCTTGGGTGTCAGTGCGTGAGGCACCAGTTCAAATCACCTGGAAGCAGGAGGGGGAGCCTGGAAAGGATTATTCATTCCAGGAAGGCTGGCTCCTGGCAGGCCCCGACAGGGTGGGGGGGCTGGGGGGGGAAGGCAGGCGTGCCAAAATCAGCAGCTGCCCGCCAGAGGCCTGCTTCCAGTCTGCCTCGTCCCCTCATGGCTGGCAAACGGTGCGCTCCCCCCTCTCAGCAACTGGCTCTATCTTGGCAAGTGACCAACTGCTCTCTGGGGAAGGGTGTGTGTTGTCCACGTCTGTGCTATTTACTGGTCTTGCTGGGGGTGGTAGTGTGTGTGTGTGTAAGTGGTACAGGCAGCTGTGGCCTGTGGTGGGATGTTCTTTCCTGGCAAGCAGAGAGAGAGAAAAAGACACCTCTCTCTGGGAAGGGGACTCTGTCAACTCAGGGAATAAGGGACCCTCTCAAGACCAACACCCTGCTCAATGCAGGGATCCAAATGGAAGCATTTTGACCGATGGGCTTAAGGGCCACAGTTGCCCACCCCTGGCTTAAATAAATCCAGCAAAGTGGAATCTACCGCAGTTCCACAAACAGGTTATTTAAAAATAATAGGTCAATCAAAAAATGACCTTCCTGTACCTGGCAACTATTATTTCATGACCTACCTACCCCCTTTCTTTCAGGCGTTGGAAAAGTACAGGTAGTCCTCGGCTTACGACCACATTTTGAGTGCAAAATTTCCGTGGGTAAGCAAGTTAAGTGGATTTTGCCCTGATTTGCGACCTTTCTTGCACACAATTCACCTGTTAAGTGAATCCGTGCAAGTTGTTACGTTAGTAACACGGTGGTTAATCTGGCTTCCCCTTTGATTTGGCTTGTCCGACGGTTGCGAAAGATGATCGCGTGACCCTGGGACACCACCACCGTCATAAATATGAGTCGGTTGCCCAAGTATTTGAATTCTGATTGTGTGACCATGGGGATGCTGCAAGAGTTTTGTAAAAAACAGTTTACAAGTCATTTTTTCCCCCCAGTGCCTTTGTAACTTTGAATGGTCACTAAACAGCAATAGTACTTACTTATATACCGCTTTACAGTGCTTTACAGCCCCCTCTAAGCGGGTTTACAGTGTCAGCCTATTGCCCCCAACAATCTGGGTCTTCATTTGACCCACCTCGGAAGGATGGAAGGATGCGTCAACCTTGAGCCTGGGGAGAACTGCCGAACTGCTGGCAGCCGGCAGTCAGCAGAAGTCGCTTGCAGTGCGGCATTCTAACCACTGCGCCACCACGTCTCATTGCAATGAACTGTTTGTAAGGTGAGGACTACCTGTACTAGCTTATCTTTGATTCCCAAGGCTAAGCACACCCAGCTTCTTCCATCACAGGCTTTATTCTTGACTCTTGGGCTAGATTAGAGGGCGAATGGGGAAGGGGGGGGCTAGAAAGGAGTCCTTGTTCCCAGCATGGCTGTGTGATTTAATCCGGCGTTTGGATGGCAGGGCTGCTGGAAGTGCCTGAAGGACCGACCTCAGACAACCCAGGTTGGCTCAGGCGAGCTCCCTGCTCCTTTTTCCACCAGGGTCCCTCCGCCAACTCCAAGAGCCGCCCCATCATTCTAAACATACCACTCGGCAAGGAGATTCGCAAACATGACCCCATCTGTCCCAGAGATGGCCTAGAGCAGGGGTCTCCAACCCTGGCAACTTTATGACTTGTGGACTTCAACTCCCAGAATTCCTCAGCCAGCTTTGCTGGGATTCTGGGAGTTGAAGTCCACAAGTCTTAAAGTTGCCAAGGTTGGAGACCCCTGGCCTAGAGTCATTCTGAGTAGTAGCTTTGCCATGGTAGCTACAACACAGCACTCTGAGATACTCTGCTGCCAGCCTAACCCTAACCCCCACAGCTTCCAGGTTACCTTTGGGTTCTTGCCCTAATCGGTTCTACCCGTCTCCAAAAAGAGGAAGAATTTAGTGAGAGCACCCAGAAGCTTTGCATGGGTGGGAAGGCATTTTCAGGTAGAGCTACGAGAGGTTATGATTGTTTGGAATATTGATGCTTTTCCCTGCCTTCCTAACCCATGAATAATCATTTCCAGCCTTTCAAGACCCTGGGAAAAGTCAGGGCTTCCATACCCGGGTCTCCAGCAGGCACAAAAAGAAGCTTGATTGGGGTTAGCCCAGAAATTGGACTGTTACCGCACAAGAGGCTCACAAGCCCCAAGCAGCTGCCTGCCTGGATTTCAACCGTAGAATGAGCTGAAGGTCAGCATATTGGCAGCGAGTGGGGGTGTGTGAAGAGGGGGCTGGTTGCGCGATGCCTTGTATAGCCTTGGCACGGCCAGCTCTGCTTTGTCACTCTCCAGCTGGACTAAAAATATGTTGAGAGCCTCCTGCCTCTTTGCTTCATCTGCTTGAAACCACTCTCCTCCCCCCGCCTCCCCCCAGGCAGGAGACTTTCAGAAGGCCAAAGGACCAGTTGCGTTTTGGCTCTAGTAAGTAGTCTTGTAGCCCAACTCATCCTGCAGGATATCGGGAAAGTGGGGAGGGGGGGGCTCACCCCTTCCTTCCTTCCTTCCCTCCCCCTCCCTCCTGCATAGACTTTCAGACGAGAATGCCTGAATGTTCTCCCCTTCCCTGGCTCCCCTTCTTTTGCAACAGCTGTTTCCAAAGCCTCTTGAATTTCGGCAAACAGCACCAACCTCAATTGAAATAACACAGCCAGAGTTTATTGGGTCTCTTTTCTCTTTCCTCTTCTATTACTTTCAGCTAACGAACTTACTTTTAAAAAAAAACAAAACAAAACTAAAATAAATTACAGAATTAAATAACTTTGGACAAATCCTCTCCCCAAAATAAAATGTTAAAGTAATTGCTGGATTTTGGCAAACAGAGACACTTAAACTGTAACACTATGGGGGGAAAAACATTACTTGAGAAAGAGGCAGAGAGGGAGAAGTGTGCAAATCTTTTCTGGGCATTCCTTAGGGGTCCCCAAGCAAATACGGTAGAGATGCCCTCAAAATCTGCTGGTGCCTCTCTCCAGCCACATTTGCAATCTTCCTTCCTCTTCCAGCCCCCACGCAACCCACACGTTAGCTCCATGCTGTCTGCTGAAACCTGCTAGGCATTAGGCAGATCCACAACACTGTGGTGGTGCTCCCTGATGCTTCTGCTCTCCAGAGATGGGCTGGTCCAACTTCAGACGTGTGTTGGGTTGTCCAGGTAAGGATCTGTCTTGGTCATGTGCAGCATAACAGCAGGAGCTTTGTAATGGCAGTGCGCTCCGGTGCAGGTCACCCCGCTACATGGTTTCCCCCTAGTCCTCATTCCCAGTTTCCTGTTGCACAGGCTCTGCCAGGTCTGCAGAGTTTTGGAGCTCCACACCCAAACACCGCTGGTGATGCCCACCACCAAGGACATGAAAATCTTTAGCATGAAGATGGCCATCGTGGGCACCGAGGCATCCAAGGAACAGTCCACACTTCGATGGCCCGGAAAAGGCAAGCAGCTGTGCTCCAAGGCCTGCAGGTTCCAGTAATCCATATTCAGACGTTCGTAGAAATAACAGACAATGACACACGTGGCTGGGACAGTATAGAGGATGGAAAAAACCCCGATCTTCACCATGAGCTTCTCCAGTTTCTCAGTATTTGTGCCGCCCGTCTTCATGATTTTGCGGATGTGGAAGAGCGCCACAAAGCCCGTCAGGATGAAGGAGGTGCCAATGACCAAATAGCAGGAGAGTGGGATGAGGATGAACCCTGTCAGGGCATTGACGTCCATGCTCCCCACATAGCAGAGCCCAGTGAGCTCGTCCCCCGCCACCTTCCGCATGGTGAGGATAACAATGGTCTTCATTGCGGGGATCCCCCAGGCTGCCATGTGGAAGTAGCTGCTGTGGGCCTCAATGGCTTCGTGGCCCCATTTCTTGCCAGCAGCCAGGAACCAGGTCAAAGTCAAGATGACCCACCAGAGGGAGCTGGCCATGCCAAAGTAGTACAGGATGAGGAACACAATGGTGCAGCCAGTACTTTCCAGCCCCTCTTGGATGATGTATAGCTCCCCGTTCTCCCGGTCACAGGCGATGTTCTCAGCACCGGCCACCGAGCGGATGATGAAGGCCACCGAATAGACGTTGTAGCACATGGAGAGGAAGATGATGGGCCGCTCAGGGTATTGGAAGCGGTGGGGCTCCAGGAGGAAGGTAAGGACGGTGAAGGCAGTGGAGACGAAGCAGAGCGTGGCCCAGACGGCCATCCAGATGAAAGCAAAGTCCTTGTCTCGCCGTGACCAGAAGACATCAACTCCAGGGGAGCAGCGGGGTGCACACGACAGGCTCTTGGCGACATACTGGAACTTGTCGGAGTTCTCACATGAAGCACTGCTGCCCGGTCGGCTCTCACTGGGGCCATCCCCAGAAGGTCGGGCAGGGCGTGGTGCCACGGGTAGCATGCCTTGACCCCGGTGAGGCTCAGCCGTGGTGGCGTTTTCGGGCGCCTCCATGCACAGGGCGTGCGGGTCATTCTTGGTAGGCAAGCGAGAGCAGTCCAGGGCGTCAGGCCAACCAAAGTGGAAGTGCTCCATGATGGGTGCGCAGCGCTGACGTGCCTGTTCGCACATGGGCCGGCAGGCCGGGATGCTGCTGGATACCTGGTCGGTGCACATGGGCGCATAGAGCGAGCAGAGGAAGAAGCGCAGGTGGCCGTGGCAGCCGTAGGCCACCAGCGGGGCAAACTCTTCCAGCTTGAGCGCCGCCTCGCGCTGGTGCTCGTGGCCCAACAGGTTGGGCATGCGGGTCAGGTTGTAGCCGATGCCTTGGCACATGGGGATCTCGATGGCCTGGCACCGCCCGCCCCGGCCACGCTCCGCCTCGTAAACGCCGCCGCCGCCCAGCAGTTCCAGCGTCGAGCCGGCCACCACCAGCTGGCAAAGCAGCGCCGCGATCGCCCGCAGCAGCAGCAGCAGCAGCCCGGCGCGGAGGACAGGCGCGGCCATGCTCACTGCGCTCCTCGCTCCGGATCGCTGCCGCTAGCTGCGCCTCCTGCGCCGCATGGCGCGCGAGCGCGGTAGCCCGGCGGCGGCAGCTCCCCACGCGTCTCTCCTGGCGAGGCCGGCGCTTTGCTCGCGGGCGCCACTGTTGCAGCCCGCCTAAACCCCCGAGAGGCGGACCCGGCGCTGGCGGGACACACCCCGCACAGGGCGGGGTAGAGCGAGGGGAAGGGCGCGGAGCCGGTCGGTTGGGCGAGGGAAGTTCCAGCGCGCCGCCCTCGCAGCTTCCAGCCGAGGTGCCGCGCTCCAGTGCGCTTTGCTGGGCTCCGCCGATGCTCCGACGGCCGTCCCCCACCCCCACGCCCGCTTCCCTCCGCAGCGCGGAGCTGTGATCGCCCGACTCTGCCGGGGAGCCCCAGAGAGGCGCGTAACGGCGCGATAGATGCCCGCGGCCGGGGAGCCTCGCCTTGCCCTCCGTCAGAGTGCATGGAGGCGGTGGCGGTTGGGGGACTCGCTCTGCTGAGGGACGGACGGAACTCTTGGCGAGGGGAGAAGAGACGGCTTCTGCTTTCGGGAGCCTGAGGGGCGGCATTCTGGCCGGCTTCCTTAGGGTTGCGCTTGGCAGGACCTTCACCCGCGGAGACTGAAGGGGCTGAGGCGCTGGTTTTCTTGGCGCAAAAGAGGCCGGCCGGCCTGCCCTGGCTTCCCTCACGGCCGACCTCAAGCCTTTCGCCGCGTGGCCTTGGGCGCTAAAGTTGTCAGGTGATGTTTCCCAGTCCGGCTTCGGGAAAATCCTCCCCCCTTCATTTTTTATTTTATTTTATTTTGCCCTGGTCAAGAGAAGAAAGATTGCTGAAAAAAAAAAAAAAAGAAGAAGAAATGGAAGAAAGGCATCCCCGAACAGGTTTAAATATATTAGGATAAAGAATGAATGATTAAAAATTAAAAAAGAGAATTTAACTGATTAAAAATGGAGAAAATAGAATTTGAGGGCGAAGGAAGATGCTGTTTATAGAAACAAGAATAGAAATGTTAAGATTGGATTAAAAAATATGGAAAAAGAACACTTTGGCAGAAATTGCAACTAAGTAAAATATGTTTGTATGTGACAAGTTGGATATGATATGATATGATATGGTCAATACTCTGTTTCATAAAGTATGTGGGTGTGTATTGGGGGGGGAACTAATAAAACTTGATTTAAAAAAAAAGGCTGTAATAGTCCCGCTGATTTTGGTTTTTCCTCTTGCTGTAGTAGTAGGTCAAACTCAATTCCATTGAGGCAATGGTGGGTTTCAAAATTTTTATTGCTGGTTCTATGGGCGTGGCATGGCTTGGTGGGTGTGGCAGGGGAAGGATACTGTAAAATCTCTATTCCCACCCCACTCCAGGGGAAGGTTACTGCAAAATCCTGGGGCCAGTCAGAATTTTTACTACCGGTTCTCCGAACTACTCAAAATTTCCGCTTCCGGTTCCCCAGAACTGGTCAGAACCTGCTGAAACCCACCTCTGCATTGAGGGCCAAATCAGGGTTGTGTTTGACCTGGGGGGAGTGGGCTGGGGACATGGCCAGAGTGGGCATGGCCAGCTCGACGCCACTCATGTTGGGGCGCCTGTGGTGGCCCAAGCGCTCTGCCAGCAAAAACAGAGCTTGGGAAAGCCATGTGCAGCCCTCCTGAGCTTCATTTTCGCTGGCAGAGGGTTGCAGGAGGCCATTGCAGCCGAAAATGGAGCTCGGAGGGCTGCGCTGGCCCTCTTGAGCTCTGTTTTTGCTGGCAGAGGCATCACGGGCTGATCTTTCGCGGTTTCCAGGGTGGCCCCATGAGCCATATCTAAGTACCCTGTGGGCCCGATCCGGCCCGCGGACCTGGAGTTTGACACCCGTGTATTAGAGCCACACTTCAGCAGTTCAAGCTGCCTTAGTTGGGCCCACCCAGATGACTCAGAAGAAGTCCAGTGGGAATGAAGGACTGGGGACATGATTACAGAGGGCAGAGAGCAAGAAAGATCTGCTCTGTGGTGTCTTCAAAACGTCTCCCATCCCAATGAAGTAAAACAGTTGGTCTCAGGTGAAGTAATGGGAGGAGGCACAATATCCTGCAGATAAGATGAATTATATAATTCACACCATGAGACAAATAATGTACAATATGTCATCTACATCACTGATAATTCTAATTTGATCTTACCCTGAGCACCAATGTTTAAGCTGTTTCTGAATTGTCATTGCCTTGACTTGTGTGATGATCCAACATAAATTAATAAATTTAATTAATCAAGTGGCTTGAATTTAAATAACCCCCAAGGTCAAAACTAGCTAAGCTGTACTCTTATAGCTGCTTTTCATTACTTTGGTAAGCATTTTGTGTGGATGTAGCCTTATAGATGACACTTGTGTAGGAAGTTAGCACCCACCCCTTTCCTGGAAGAGTGAAATATTTTAGGAAATATGAAAAAGGCAGAATACTATATTTCCCTGGATGAGAAATGGATAAGCATGTTTTTTTTTTGTTTTGTTTTTTATTGAAAAAGTTTTCAAATACAAATTTTTCCCCCTTTTTTTTCCCCTCTCCCTCCCCCTCCCTAACCCCCCCTCCCCACCCATCCCCCCCTGTGACTTCTTCATAACAAAAAAAACCTAATTCATAACAGATTACTTACTCCCTCCTCTAGATATTGACCTTTACTTACTAAAAATATTATTAATAACATCCCCCTTTATCCATACATATCAGAAAAGAGAAAAGAAAGGAAAAAAAAAAAGACATTATACTATGACATTATAGAATAACCTCCACTTTAAAACTATACGATAAGTCCTACTTTAACATTTAATCTTCTATATATATTACTATAACATTTCAAAGCGGCCTTCCCCATAAAATCTAGTTTAACATTTATTCCACTCTATCCATTTCCTCCACTCCCCTAAGTATAACACTTAAAAATCCCTTTTCTTAGACTAGTCAATCTACTAACTAGCTTATTCACCCACTATCATGCAAAATTGCCATACACAACATTTCTTAACATCTTTGATTCACTGCCCACACTACTTAAAAATATATGTCTATATTTTCCATTATATCTAAATAAAAAAAAAGAAAAGACAATGACTTTAAATTTATAATCCATATAGTATCTTCTTTGAGATCTTTCCACTGGATTGGTAGAACCAACATCCATAATCGGGTAACATAGCTTACTGGTGCAACAGTTTATTCAGGATCTTCAATCATATCTGCCCCCATCAGTAGTAAATATCTTCTTATATGTATAAAAGTAAAAACAACCACCCGAGTGACATTATAATTATATTCCATATAGTAATAATTGTGGGTTTCATCAGGATTATTAATTCCCATCATCGTAGTGGGTAACAAACCCGATCTTCTGCATGCCCCAGCATAATTCTCTTGCCTTGTGATTCAAGATAATATAATATGTTTATCAACACAAAAAGAAATTCCAAAATGGATAATTCAAATCCATCAGTTTAAGGCTCGTTTCACGTCCCCAGATTACGGCCATGCAGAGATCTGCCACAATCCTCAGGATGATATTAACCAATACGTCGCCTCTTCTGTGTTTACACATAATCGTTCATATTTTAAAATCACTGGCTTCACTGTTGCCTGATTTAGAAATTTCTATTTTTATGCCACCTATTTCTTTTTTTCTTTTCTTTTTGTGGGTTTGGTTTCCATCCTGGTTTCCTTTCTACAAAATGTGTATCATCTGGTCGGTTTTTATTCTGCTTTGTAGATTGGTCTTGTTGGTTTTGCTTTTGTATCTCATGTTTCTTTTTTATCCCTTGTATATCCCCTAATTGGTTTCCATGCTTATCCTTGCCTTGATAAGTCATCACATTAAGATTAGATGCCACTTCTCTCAAATTTGTAGATAGTCCAGCTGGGGTATCCAATAAATCCAAAGGCAATTCATCTGGTACAGTCTCTGTAATTCGATATTTTACCTTTATTTCCGGCTCCTTCTGCTTATCCTGTATTATACCTGAAGATGTTAAGTTCATTTTCAACCTATTTTGATAAAATTCTTCCGCTCTTTCAACAGTATTTAGCTGATATCTTTCTCCTTGGTATCTAAATATAATACCAACTGGGGCGTCCCACCTGAATGAGATATTTCTCTTTTTTTAACTCATTCACCAGAAAACCAAATTTCTTCCTTTCCATCAATATCTTAGGTGGGAGTTCCTTGTAAATCCAAATCTTTCTTCCATACAATTGCAAATTAGAATTGAAGGAATTTTGTACGATATTATTCCTAATTTCTTTATCTGTAAAATAAATCACCACATCTCTAGGCAATTGCCTTTGCTTGGCAATCCAGGAGTTGATTCGATAAACTCTGTCGATCCTACAAAACACTTCGTCAGGTTGAACCTTTAGAATCCCAGCTAGAAATTCAGAAGATATTTTCCTTAAATCATCTCTATTATTTTCCTGCAAACCTCTTAATCTTATCGCATATTCTGTGAAATTATATTGTACCATTAAAATCTCTTTTTCAATCTTCTGTTGCAGATTTTCTGCATTACCATACTTTTGATCAGCATCCATTTTAGGTTTTTCTTCTAAGCTATTATCCTGAGTGTTTGTCAAATCATTTTCAATTTTTTGAATTCTATGGTCCAATTTATCTTGAATTTCTTCCATTTTAGACTCTAGTACATTAGTATTTGAGTCCAACTGTATCATAAATCCTGTAAAACCATTAACCACTTTTGAGAATTTTTTCTCCAAAAAATCAAACTTAGATTTCACCAATTCTTTAATTTCCTGCTTAAATTTTTCAAATTGTTGATTCACAATCTCCTCCCTTCTTTCAATCTCCTCTATAAAAAATTCTATTATATTAAAATCAGGTTTCTGAGACTGAAGAATTAAGACTTGTTCCTTTAAGTTGTTGGTGGGGGGGATCCCCCCCCTTCTTGTTTATCTGACTTTATGAGTCTCAGTGCCATGTTTCCGCCCAGGCAGGCTTTGTTAAAAAAAAAAAGCAAGAAAGAAAAAAAAAGGACTTCTTTCCAATCAACAACAATATCAGGTCTCCAAGGGAAAAAAAAGAGAAAAAGACACAGGAGCGAAGTTTTGTCTACAAATGTAGCCAGTGGTATTTATTCCGCTACATTGTAGTAATAGAAAATGGAAGGACTTTCCCTTTCAGCCTCTC